TGCATGTATGTGGCAAAGGAACAACTCCATGTTTTCTAAAAGGCCTAGAGAACATATGTTGGTGCCTCTCCTCTTTCCCCTTGTGTCTGTCATTTTGGCAAATTATTGGAAGTTGGTAGTTTTGGCCGAAAGGGTGAATCTATTTCTAATATCAACAATGTTTTAACTTAACCAAGATCATACAAATAAAGTCAGAACACTCATGTTCTTTCTAATCTACCCATGGGCCCAAATTAACATGAAAAATAAACTATTTCAGAATAAACACTTAATTTTAGGTCTCCATCAGTAAAATTAGACTAATTCAGACCGCTGATGTTGGAGTGAGGAAGAATGAACAGAGACAGAATTCCAAATGACAGCAAGTAACAGCAGTATAACACAGGCCCTGACATAGGTAATACTTTATTTAAAGTATCCAGATTTCTAAGGTCTTGTCTTTTAGGAGGAGTTGACTTAATTCTACGTAGGTCTTAGTTCTGCAAACTTTTTCTGTAAAGGGTCAGATGGTAAATATTTTAGGATTTGAAGGCCAACCAACCAGTCACTGTTACAACTACTCAACTCTGCCACTGTAGCACAGGAGCAGCCACAGGCAATATATAACAAATGGGCATGACTGTGTTCCCATAAAATTGATTTACAAAAACAGGCGTGGACCATATTTGATCAATGGGCCATAGTTTACTAAGCCCTGTTCTATAGGACAGAATAATGATCTGGGGCAGAACTAACAAAGTGTATAGGCCGGCTGCAGTGGCTCATACCTGTAATCCTAGCACTCTGGGAAATTAGGGCGGGAGGATTGCTGGAGGTCAGAAGCTCAACAGCCTGAGCAAGAGTGAGACCCTCATCTCTACCAAAAATAGAAAAAATTAGCCTGGTGTGGTGGCGCACGCCTGTAGTCCAGCTACTCGGGAGGCTGAGGCAGGAGGATCACTTGATTCTGGAAGTTTGAGGTTGCTGTGAACTAGGCTGATGTCATGGCACTCTAGCCCAGCCAACAGAGCAAGACTCTGTCTCCAAAAAAAAAAAAAAGTCTGTAGATTCAGCTCAACAGAAGGCATCCTCACAAACAGAACCAACCGCAAATGGAGGGTGCCCTCTCAGTAGATCCTAGGCTTCCTTGAAGATGTCTAAATGATGTAGGCAATCGTGTGCCTGAATGCAGTATAGGAATTCTGTGCAACAGATGAGGGTGGTCTGGATGGCAGACTTTAAGGTTGCCTTCACCTGGAGTACTTTACTTAGGGACAAGTTCCGGCCCAAAGTACTACTTCTAACTATAGAACAACTTACCAAACATGCGAGAACTGTTCTAGGCCCATCAAGGAATGTTCAGGATTATTAAAGATGCTTTTTCTAATCCTCAAACAAGCTCGGGAATGGCTACAAATGGATGGCTGCCTTGGAGTACCATTCTTGGCTGAGAAACAGGATTCCAAGTAGCCTATTGGCTCGGTTAAAAGATTCCCTACAGAAGAAAATTAGGTAAGAAATTATTAGTCAAAAGGTCAAACCAAGTTCTAAGAAAACATGTTTTCTCTAATGTACTGATTTCCATGGTTTTAAAATCTGCTAGGTGTTATGCAACTATAAAAAATGATTTTTTAGCCAGGCATGGTAGTGTGTGCCTGTAATTCCAGCTACTTAGGACGCTGAAGCAGGAGGATCACTTGAGCCCAGGAATTTGAGGTTACAGTGAGCTATAATTGGGCCACTGTACTGCAGCCTGGGCAACAGAGCAAGACCTTGTCTTTATAAAACAAAACAAAAAAGAT